ATTACTGAAATAGTTTTAAGGTGAAACTAATAAACTTTATTTCTTCCTTTTACCTAACAATATTTTATTTTTAATTCACTAGACACCTAATACATTTGTTAAATTTGTCTTTAAATTTTCTTCTATAATGACACTTTTTCATACACAGTAAACGACCAAGGCAGAAAAACATTTTATCTGCGTAGCTTACACTGGGTACTTTGGTTTATATCTGATAGTTAAAAATTATAATAGGAAGTGACACCACATTCAGCAGTTTTCTATAAGTAGGAACCTCAGAAACATTAGTACCCAAGCTAAATGATTGGGGAGAGAGTGTGTGTGTTTTAACTTTTCAAAACCAAACCAAATGCATGATTATTTAGACTGTTATTGCCATCAACTTAAAGCTAAAGCAAGGAATCATCATTCAATTGCACTATACATATAGAAGGAATATGAAATCACACACACACGCACACATATGAACTGAAGTCATAGGACTCATGGCCACTCCAAAATTACGAATTAATTCTACTAGCCTTGGTGTGAAAATTTCTTTTTTTTTTTTTAACATCTTTATTGGAGTATAATTGCTTTACAATGGTATGTTAGTTTCTGCTTTATAACAAAGTGAATCAGTTATACATATACATATGTTCCCATATCTCTTCCCTCTTGTGTCTCCCTCCCTCCCACCCTCCCTACCCCACCCCTCTAGGTGGTCACAGAGCACTGAGTTGATCTCCCTGTGCTATGCAGCTGCTTCCCCCTAGCTATCTATTTTATGTTTGGTAGTGTATATATGTCCATGCCACTCTCTCACTTTGTCACAGCTTACCCTTCCCCCTCCCCATATCCTCAAGTCCATTCTCTAGTAGGTCTGTGTCTGTATTCCCGTCTTGCCCCTAGGTTCTTCATGACCTTTTTTTTTTTTCTTAGATTCCATATATATGTGTTAGCATACGGTATTTGTTTTTCTCTTTCTGACTTACTTCACTCTGTATGACAGACTCTAGGTCCATCCACCTCACTACAAATAACTCAATTTCGTTTCTTTTTATGGCTGAGTAATATTCCATTGTATATATGTGCCACATCTTCTTTATCCATTCATCTGTCGATGGACACTTAGGTTGCTTCCATGTCCTAGCTATTGTAAATAGAGCTGCAATGAACATTTTGGTACATGACTCTTTTTGAATTATGGTTTTCTCAGGGTATATGCCCAGTAGTGGGATTGCTGTGTCGTATGGTAGTTCTATTTGTAGTTTTTTAAGGAACCTCCATACTGTTCTCCATAGTGGCTGTATCAGTCTACATTCCCACCAACAATGCAAGAGGGTTCCCTTTCCTCCACACCCTCTCCAGCATTTATTGTTTCTAGATTTTTTGATGATGGCCATTCTGACTGGTGTGAGATGATATCTCATTGTAGTTTTGATCTGCATTTCTCTAATGATTAATGATGTTGCGCATTCTTTCATGTGTTTGTTGGCTATCTGTGTATCTTCTTCGGAGAAATGTCTATTTAGGTCTTCTGCCCATTTTTGGATTGGGTTGTTTGTTTTTTTGATATTGAGCTGCATGAGCTGCTTGTAAATTTTGGAGATTAGTCCTTTGTCAGTTGCTTCATTTGCAAATATTTTCTCCCATTCTGAGGGTTGTCTTTTGGTCTCGTTTATGGTTTCCTTTGCTGTGCAAAAGCTTTGAAGTTTCATTAGGTCCCATTTGTTTATTTTTGTTTTTATTTCCATTTCTCTAGGAGGTGGGTCAAAAAGGATCTTGCTGTGATTTATGTCATAGAGTGTTCTTCCTATGTTTTCCTTTAAGAGTTTGATAGTGTCTGGCCTTACATTTAGGTCTTTAATGCATTTTGAGTTTATTTTTGTGTATGGTGTTAGAGAGTGTTCTAATTTCATACTTTTACATGTACCTGTCCAGTTTTACCAGCACCACTTATTGAAGAGGCTGTCTTTTCTCCACTGTATATTCTTGCCTCCTTTATCAAAGATAAGGTGACCATATGTGTGTGGGTTTATCTCTGTACTTTCTATCCTGTTCCATTGATCTATATTTCTGTTTTTGTGCTTGTACCATACTGTCTTGATTACTGTAGCTTTGTAGTATACTAAAAATCCTATCTTTTATTTTTAAGATTTCTTTTTCTCAAATTGAAGTTTTCAGGAAAAATATTCAGCATATTTTATATTTTCTTCTCAATTCTCTCTTTTTTTTTTTTTTTGCGGTACACGGGCTTCTCACTGTTGTGGCCTCTCCTGTTGCAGAGCACAGGCTCCAGACGCGCAGGCTCAGTGGCCATGGCTCACGGGCCCAGCTGCTCCACAGCATGTGGGATCTTCCCGGACTGGGGCACGAACCTGCGTCCCCTGCATCGGCAGGTGGACTCTCAAACACTGCGCCACCAGGGAAGCCCTCAATTGTCTTTTTTTAAGAAAACATATATTCTTTTTATTATAAAGATTGCTGGGTTTTCCCCCAAGAAGGATAGCATAAAGTTTTAATGACCTTAAACATGCAGTGTAGTTTTTTTATAAATATGGTTTTTAAAAGGATTATCTCTAGTTGAAGCAGCTTTACAATATTAAGGAAATTTTAAGGCAGTTACTCTTTATTCCACTATTCTACTATAATTGTTTTTATTTCACCCAGTGTGTATATTATTTTATATAGTTGTGATTATAATACATATACAGTTTGGGGATCTGTTGTTTTAACCTCATGCTTTTTCATATATACTTTTCCATGTTGTTGCATAAACTTCATATCTATCATTTTAAATGTCTGTATAATATTCCTTTGAGTTACCATACTTTTTCTATTATCCTATCAGTGAGGTTGTTTCCAGTTTTATGCTATTATATTTGGTATTCCAGTAAATACTGTTGTACAGATACTTCTCTGTACAGAACTTCTCTGGGTTTTTTTTAGTGGCTTCGTTACAATAAATTCCCAGAGTATAATTTGCAAGTCAAACAGTATGAACCATTTTCTTCCTTCAGTAGTGGTGGTGGTGGTGGTGGTGGTGGTGGTGGTTAAATACCTGATTATTTTCAGTTTGTTTGTTAGTTGTCTCTATGCTTAAATTCTATTGTAATTGTATTTGTTACTTATAAACCTTAATGATTCTTATTGCTGTCTGTTGGGTTTGGATATACATGAATCAGACTCTTCTAATATAAGAACCTCCATAAAGCAGCTGGTCTGGAGGAAGTCCCCATAAATACAGTAGAAACATTTTATAGGTTTCTATGGGGATTCTGTAACTATATAGTGGAAAATCTGTTCTCTTGGGGCTAAGGGTATAATATCCCCCTCACCTAGCAGTTAAGAAAATGAAGCAACATAAAAAACAGTATAAGGAAGTTAGAGCAATTTAAGAAATAACTAAATCTATTAAATACTTAGGAAGGAGCAAGTTAAACTAACAGTTTAAAACAAATGCGTACGGGTGAAAACCATATACGCTCTCGTTGTCTCAGAGCTTGATTTTTTTACAGGGAAATGGACTGTTCTATTTTCCTTATTATATTTTTTAGAAATTCATAGATGAGAAACTTGTCCCCAGCCTTAGTAATACTATTTTTTCAATAAGTGATTTATTGCCTTTAACGTCATAACTGTCATATAATAATATTCTCTATATATTTATAGGTACAGAATATAAAATGTAGTTACCAGCTCTAAGTTATATATGCGATTGCTCACATATATTAAAATAAGTCAAAGCAAAAATTTGTTCTGATCTCATTCATTAAAGCAAGTGATAAAGCTGTTTAGTGATTATTTGGGTTGTAAATGATTGGGTTTTATTTGAAATAACAGTGGTTAAATTTTCATCTGTGAAACTCTGATTTTTACATTATCATATACTTTTCCTGGGAACTTCAGTATACCAGTTTTGATCCTTCTTAAATGTAATTTCTCACCTTTCAGTGGTGTATTTATAGCCAGGTCACTGGAATATACGCTCTCATATCTGATTGCATAAACATGACTTAAAATAGTACTGAGCTTATCATCATTCCACCCAAAGCAACTCCTTATTCTGTCACTGTTGCCCCCACTTTCATCAGTACTCAGTTTTAATACCTTGGAATCATTCCTGACTCTCATTCTTCTTCCTTCAATATCTAGTTAGTCTCCAGATCATAACTATAGTTTTCTTTCATAGTGTCTCCCCCTCTACTCTGCCTTTCTGTTTCCCATTGCCACCACCTTAGTGCTGGGCCTCATTACTCCTAGACTACTGCAGCAGACTTGAATTTTGGGTATGTGATTTCTTTATTGTTAAGAAAAATGGTTTATTCCAGGAAACTACATCACCTACTTACAGTTTTACCTATTGCAAAAAAAGAAACATAGACTTTGTAAGAACAAAACAAAACAAAAATCACCTTTTTTCTATAAAGATGTTGCTTCTATTCCAAGAAAGATATTTTGGTGGCAGGAAATAATATTCTCTCATATGGAGTACATTCTGAAACTGAAAATACTTATAGAAAGTGCCAGGTCTTAGAAAGATGACCTTCTTATATGCTATATCAAGTAGTCTATCATTTAAACATAAATGAATCCATATACAGAAATTAAGGCAGCTAATAAGAATAGTGCAAAAGGAGTATGAAAAAACTATTAAAGAATTCTCTGTTCATAAATTAACAGAAAAGCAAATAAATTTAGCCTTAGAATGAAACACAGCAAACCATACCAGCACCCAGATAAACATGCACCATGGTGCTCCTGGGACACCACTTCAGCAGTTATCTCCAGAAGGTGGCTGGGGCTTGCAAGACACCCAGAGTCAGAAGAACCGTAGGCGCTCCAGGGTTGCACTGGCGCTGTCACAAGGAGCATCTGACACAACATATTCATTTGCCTTGGAATTTGTTTGTGTCATTTGCCTTTGACTAACCTAGAATGAAAGAGGTATCTCTTGTCACTCTTTTTCTGCCTTCTTCAATTATAAAGCATGTTTTATAATCTTCATTTTTTGAAAGGGATCACATGCAGTGGTCAAAAGAAGAAGAAGAAGCAGCCAGAAAAAAAGTAGAGGAAAACTCAGCTGTGCGAGTCCTTCTGGAAGAGCAAGGTAAAGCAACTACATGTTGTGTCTCCTGAAGCCTGGCTTCCCTGTGTGCCCTTCCACTGATTCAGTTCACACCTCAGTCTCTTTTCCTCCTAATTGTGCCACTACTTTAGAGAGTTCTTAGCTTCTACCTTTGCTAATCTACTTGTTCCTTTGGGAGAATTCCCAGTTATTCCAGTGTAGCGGAACCAAAGTTAAAGAAATAAATTATGTATTCACCCTATAAGTATAATCTCTTTCTATAGTCATATTATTGCTTTCTCTGGGAGATACATAAGGGTGACATTTAAAACAAGATATGAGAACATAATTTAAATTTTTTCCTTTAGTTATGCATCTTTTAGTATGCTGTTGTGCACTTGACCTGCTAGGAATATTCAACAGATTCGAAAACTTTGAGCGAAGAAGGTAGAGTCATATCAAAATGTTTCTGGTCTTTTATTGAACATAAAGTTTCAATAAGGATTTGAGGTACTTTTCTTGGAGGCCTTTGATATTTAGAGTTTAATTTAGGTAAGGCCTTGCCAACCTTAAAAATGGCTTCTAAAGTATTGGCCTATGCTACAATCACAAAACCAGAAAATAACAAGTGTGGGTGAAGATGCATAGAAATGAAGCCCTTATATGCCCTGTTAGAGTAATTATAAAATGGTACAACCTCTACTGAAAACAGTATGGAAGTTCCTCCAAAAATTAAAAATGGAACTACCATATCATCTAGTAGTCCCACCTCTGGATATATAGCCAGAAGAATTGAAAGGGTCTTGAAGAAATATTTTCACACCCATTTTCATAGCAACACAATTCACCATAGCAAAAGGTAGAAGCAACCCAAATGTCCAACAGATAAATTGATAAACAAAATGTGGTCTCTTCATATGGAATATTATTCAGCCATAAAAAGAAGTGGAATCCCTGTCACATGCTATCATCTGGATGAACCTTGAGGACATTATGTTAAATGAAATAAGCCAGTCACAAAAAGACAAATACTATATGGTTCCCCTTATATGAGGTACGTAAAGTAGTCAGATTCATAGAAACAGAAATTAGAATGGTGGTTAGCAAGGGCTTAGGGGAGGGGGTGAAACACAGAGTTGTTGTTTAATGGGTATAGGGTTCCAGATTTGCAGGATGAAAAAGTTCTGGACATCTGTTTCACAACAATGTAAATATACTTAACACTACTGGGCTCTTCACTTAAAAATGGTTAAGATGGTAAATGTTATGTGTTTTTTACCACAAATTTTTGTTTAAAAAGCACACTAAAAAAAATTTGGCCTCTGTCCTTCTCAGTGCATAGCTGGGAACCGACAGGCAGTTGGCCCAACACTTACACTCTCTAGAGAGAATTTTCCTACCTTTTTTTTCTTAAATGATTTCTCCTTTAAAACAGGTTGATTTTTTTTTTTCTTTAAAAAAAACGAAAACAGCTTATTGAAGTACCAGATACCCATAGAAATTAACACAATTCATAAATTTTCATAAAGTTTTCATAAAACTCAGTGAATTTTCCCAACACCCACTTTAAGAAACAGAATATTACCAGTAACCCAGAAAATTCCTCATGCCCTGTCCCAATTACTTTCCCAAACCCCTAAGACTCTACAAACAGCAACCACTATTCTGGCTTCTAATACCATAGGTTAGTTTTGCCAGAACAACTTGGTTCTGGTCATCATCATTTCTCAGTCACTCATGTAGCACTGTCAGTGTACCTGTTAGATAGAATGAGAGGCAGTAAACTATGGCCAGGGGCCAAATCCAGCCCACTGCCTATTTTTATAAAGAAAGATTTATTGGAACTCATTTGTTAACATTGTCCATGGCTGCTTTTGAGCTATATCTACAGAGTTGAGTAGTTGCAACAGGGACCTTATGTAGTCCACACAGACTATGTACCGTCTGGCCCTTTACAGAAGAAGTTTGCCAACCCCTGAGATAGAATTTTGTTTCCAGATTGATCAGCTGTCCTGAAACTCCCCAGAGAAAGATGTTTGCATTCCTCTGTGCAAGCCAAGCATAGTGAAAAGCACTAATCCCACTGGTAGTTAGCTATTGTTGTGACTTTAGTCTACACTTGAGGCTAAAGTTTGAAGCAAAGGTAGCTGTTGAAACTTAAGCTAATGAGACAGCCCTCATGAGCTGCCCTTTGCCAGTGAAGGGGGCAGTGTGGCCCTGTCTTATCTTCTGGCATCGTTATCCCTCAGAGCTAGTTTTCCTTCCTTACTGTAAGCATGAATATGTCCTGGAGGATGGACAAGAAAGAAGAGCACCTGATCCACAGTAGAACCATTCTATTTTTATGAACTCCAGCCATGCAGTCCCAGAGTGGGATGTGGCCAGGGAGTGTTGGGGCTGGATTTGAGAGTGCATACCGGTGGCAGTTCTGCTCACAGATCAGCCCGCACTGCATTCCTTTGCAGGAACTCTGTCACACTGTTTCTGAGGAAGTATAATTTTGCTTCTTTGCCAGCAGCTGCACAGGCATATTTTCCACATTACTCAAGCTTCTGCTAGTGGCCACCTGGATGTGACAGAGAGAGTCAAGCCTAAACAGAATTAAAAGATATCAGTCATCTTAATTCTTTTCCAGGAAGTTAAAAATTATCCACAGTATATTTCCTGAGAATATGAAAAACCAAGGAATTTTTTTTTCCATGCTCTTTTGAGTATTTCTGTTTAGAACATAAATAGATGAGCAGTGCTGATAATGTTCCCTTAAAGGGCTCTGTATGTGGCTGCCTATTTTGGCCTATTTATGTTAACAATGAACTTGAGTGAAGCTAATGAGAAGGTTATTTTCAGGCCTTGGAAACCACAGTAAAGGAAAATGACAGTTCCCACAGAACCATAATGTGACTGAAATAGAAAGGTGGTGACTGGCCTTTCTCTATAGAAGCAGGAAAAGCAGACTGGAGAGGGCTGATGATACTGCTTTGAAGCATTTGGTTTGCTTATTAGCATGTGCAGTCTGTTTCTGAGCAAGTTTTCTGGCCGCCGTGGAGACACAAAACAAAAGAGTTCATTTTAAAATGACTCAAAGTGATCAAGGCTTCTGCTGGGTCCCCTCTGCGTCCTCCCTTCCTACCTCCCCCCACCCCCCCATAACACCACTCAGTGCAATGGACTTCACGCATGTCAGAGAACTGCTACAAGGAGAGGAACACACACATTGAGGGTGACCCTTACATCACACTTAAGCAAGGTTGCACAGAGCAGCAGTTGAGGGTGGCAAAGAAAGAAAACTTCTGTCCTGAGGAACTATGTTGAGTGATGGGACATTACAGTGAGAATAAATACCTACCCAGCCACCCAGTCCAGTCTCCACCAGGGATCATCGACCTGCTAGTCTGCAGCAGCCTAGGTGAGGCTTCTAATTGGATATCTAATGTCTCTGATGAATATGGGTCAAGGTGAATAGATCCGTTTAAAAGCTCTATTCCCAAACGTTGTGAAAACCCAAAGGAAGCTGTGACCCGGTTCTTCTCCCGCTGCCCCTGTTAATCACCATCTCTTTTTATCCAGGAGGGTCCTAAGTCTTTGAAAGAGCCAGTTTTCTCCCATCATAAAGTATTCCATTTGCAGAATAGTATACGGCATGAGCACTGTCTACTGATTTTATCTTACTTATTTTAATGCCACTGGGAGGAAATACTGGTTGTTCTCCCATGCTGGCCAACTCTCTGGCAAGTTTCTTTTGGTCTCTGTGTGTCAGTCTCTCCTGTCACTCCCATCTCCCATTTGTCACCTATTGTCTCAGCCTTTGGTGAGAACTGAAGTCCGGAAACACCCCCACAATTCTGAAAATAAGAACTTATACATCACAAATAAGACAGTCTTTTGCTGTACAATGGTTGACATATTCATTCCTGTGATTAAAATGTAAAGCATCCGGGCTCTCATTAGCAATATTTCTTTCAATTAGATGCCCAGATTAATGATTTTTTTTTTTTTTTTGCGGTACGCGGGCCTCTCACTGTTGGGGCGTCTCCCGTTGCGGAGCGCAGGCTCCGGACGCGCAGGCTCAGCGGCCATGGCTCACGGGCCCAGCCGCTCCGCGGCATGTGGGATCTTCCCGGACCGGGGCACGAACCCGTGTTCCCTGCATTGGCAGGCAGACTCTCAACCACTGCGCCACCAGGGAAGCCCAGATTAATGATTTTTAATTCCACATTTCCTTTTGGTAATTTATTTTAAATTTTATAATAGCTCAGATTTCGTTTTAAAGCAGGTTAATTCAGAGAAATGAGAAAGATACATTTGGCAGTTTTTGAGTTAACATGATTATAATTTCCTGAAAACATCTCCAGTGTGTTATATCTCAGCTGGTAATTTAGCAAATGTAATGGGTTTTTAAAAGTTAATAACAAATGCAGCTGCTATTTTTACTTTAAAATACCCTTGTAAATAACTATCTACCTAGGATGAGTTATCTATGTCGAGGAAAATAGTAAGAGAATTCCACTATACCTTCCTTTGTGAATACCTTACCACTTGAGAGTGTCCTATGTGAGAAAAAAAAATAGAGTAGCTAAAAGTTTTGTGTGCTGATAAATTTAGGATACTTGTTTGTAGGTCAGCTTTGGTTGTAATTTCATACAGTGCTCTTAGAAGTATACTTTAAATTTCATAACTTTAAGAGTTTTCCTTTATTAGACAATTAACTTTATCAGTGACGTGGAAATTTCCAACTTTGAGAGCTCAGGTGTTCGTGTAATTGCTGTGCAAAAATAGCTTTAAATTGCCTTTTGTATAGGGAGGGTGGGAGAGAGGGAGACGCAAGAGGGAAGAAATATGGGAACATATGTGTATGTATAACTGATTCACTTTGTTATAAAGCAGAAACTAACACACCATTGTAAAGCAATTATACTCCAATAAAGATGTTAAACTAAATAAAATTAAAAAAAAATAAATTGCCTTTTGTTACATTGCAACTTAGAATAAATTTTCATAATACATATTAATCATATCGTATATGTCAGATACATATAAATGGTTTAATTCAATTTCTTAGTTGTTATATTCAGTGTGATTCAGGGTGAATTCTGAATATTTAAGTATGGTTAGTGTGTCATAGTCCTTCTTCCCCTCAGCAGTATTGAATTTAATAAATGAATAATTGAGAAGTTGCTTCATCTGGCTCTGGTTAAACAGATCACTACATCCCTTTTACAGCCGTTGGCAGAGAGCAATTAACTCTGAATTGGCAACCTTGGAGAGTAAAGGGAAAATTTTCTCCTCCAAGAAAAATTGATCATTAATATACCTGTTTAGAAAATCAGTTGGGCAAGATGAAGACAGGGCAGATTTCTCTACACTATTTTCTTTTATCATTTTTGGCCTGAACTTGAGTTGAGTGAACAGCAGGATTAAGCTAAATTTTTCACTCATGGTCAGAAAAGTTGCTCTTCCAATTCCCCTGTTATCACAGATACTCTTGCAGTTCAGGAAATTAAATTATATGCTGGAGGTGTTTCCTTGTCTCATGGCCATAATTATGAGTTTGATGAGCTTCCGTGGGGTCTCAGAAGCTGTTATACATTACTGGGAACTGTGGAGTTGCCAGCATTGATTGAAGGTACTGCTAAAAGCACAACTTTAAAAAGCAAAAAAAAAAGTTCCAGCTCATTAGCCTTTATCCCAGACTATCCTGTTTTGTTTCTGTTTTGTTGCTGTCCCACAAACGCATCTATTCTCATAGAGCATTTTATGTTCCTGTTGCTCATCATAATTTCATCATACAACCTTGCATAGTTTATTTTTTATATAATTCAAATGGGGTTTAATTAAGTCTGTTTTTCTGATCTGTGTTTATGTAGGTTCACTCCAGTCAGCATTATTTTTACTATTTGGTTATACTGATTATAAGTCATACTGAGGTTTTAATTTCAGCTTGATGCTTCATAATGAGAGGAAAGTACAAAATCAGAAAAACAGATTATTTTCAGAGATATTTTGGAGGGGGTTAATCTTGATTTTGTGTTAGGAAGGCAGTATAGTATAATGGTTAAGAGCATAAAGTCTGATAGAATTGGTTCAGGTCCTGGCTCTGCTGGGTGACTTTGGGCAAATTTTTTTATCCCCTCTGACCTTGAACTTCTTTGTCTGTAAATTGGAATAACACGTCTATCTGAGAGGTATTATTAGGGTTAAATGGGAAAAAATTCCAAGTAACATTTGACTTAGTGCCTGGCACAAAATAAACACTTAGTATGTACTATTGTGCTGCTGTTATTGGTACAATGATTTATGTGGTTTGTTTTTTTCCTCCTAATTCCTGAGTGGGAAATACTTGAAAAAGGCTTGAAAGCGTATATATTAGCAGACCTTGACCATCATCTTTTAATAGTAATCAGATCCTTTTTAAAGATTGGATAAGCTAGGGTTGAATTTAGGTGCTTGATGTATTGGTACCTGCACCGGATTCTAGTCACCTCACTGCAAATTCATTTTCTTTATAAACTGTAGAAATTAAACAGTAGTACAGGCTCATATTTATGACAGCAATCTGATCCAAGATTTTGCAGTTTGTAGAACTGGATGTTTAATGTTCTCCATAAATTCATGGGATTTAATAGGGAAGTACATAGACTTTTTAGAGCTTAAACATAGAGATGCTCTAATTCAGGGGTCCAGCCCGTGGCCTGTTAGGAACCAGGCCGCACAGCAGGAGGTGAGCAGCAGGTGAGTGAGTGAAGCTTCATCTGCCGCTCCCCATCGCTCCCCATCACTCGCATTACCTCCTGAACCATCACCCCCCCACCCCCCACCTCCGTGGAAAAATTGTCTTCCACGAAACTGGTCCCTGGTGCCAAAAAGGTTGGGGGCCGCTGCTCTAATTCAACCCCTCATCAAATGAGGAAACTCTTTGGGCAAGTAGAATGAAGAATTCAACCAAGATTCTTTATCTTCATGTAAGATGTAGATAAAACTTTGCAAAAGAAAGAATTACCTAATAATCGTTAAATTGTTACCAGCACTCCAAATTTCCATCTGATGGTTATAAATGAATATAAAATAAATTTTAGAGTTGCAGTCAGTGTATAGACCATTCTGTGTGAATATTTTCTCTTAATATTATTATCCTTTAAATTTTAATTGCTACATAAGTTTACTCTGTTTTGACATGCATGGTTTGCTTGGTCATTCCTATGTTGCTGGCTGTTTGAGTTATTTCCACTTTTTGTTATTATAAATAGCACTGCTGTGAACATCTTTTCTTTCAAGTTACTCCACTGCTGTCTATCTCTTCCCCTGCCAATTAATTCCGAGGGGGATATTCCCACAAATTAATCACTTATATTACATTCTAGTTACTTATAGTTAGGTTCAAACTCACTTCACAAGTAACTTGGTATTGGAAACTCAAATGCTAGAGATTTGACTAAATATAGGTCTTCTTAGGTGGGTCACCTTTTATTAAGCAGAAAAATCTTTTACCAGCATAGAGTGAGTTACAAAGAGAGTTCTTAAGGTAAAAGGAAGAAGAGAAGGTGCGAGAAGACCCTGGGGAAATTTGACGGTTTCCTAATTCCTCCTGAGTCTGATTTTCGGAATGTTGTTTTGTTTTCTTACACAGTATATCAGGTACATTCCAATTTCTAAAAGTAGAGATAGAACTATTTTAAAGATATACAGCATTTTTAGATTAGTGATAAATAGGCTTCCTCCCATTAGTGCAGATGAGAGCATGTTTTGGACTTCAACATCACATAATTCTTTTGTTACAGAGATCTACTTTCATTTCTCAGACCTTAAATACAGATGGGAGTTTCTGTCTTTCTAGCAGTCCTGCTGCCAGATACAATTCAGTCCTGATGGGAAGGAAGTCTTGTGGCCAGATGGGTGGAGATCCATGGTACAAGGCCATAAAGATAAAAGTGGAAAGAAAAGAAAAAATATAAGGACTTCAGGACAGGGTTCTGTAACAGAGACAATCCTGACTATAGGCAACTGCTTGTTCTGAGGGTAAGGGCTTCTTTAAAATTCTCAAAGAAATGAGTCTGTTGTTTTTAGTTTTAGTTTATTTTTGGAATAGATTATAATTTCACATGGATCAAAATTCAAATGAGAATTCTTCCTCAAACCCTGGTCCCCAGCCACTCAGTTCCACTCTTTAGAGGCAACCAGTACTACTAATTATGTGATTATCCTTCCAGAAGTATTCTGCCCATATAGCAGTAAATATGTGTATATACATACATGACTGTTTTTCTGTGTATGTACACACATGTATTTTTTTCTTCTTTTGTTTCTAATAAATAGTTGCATCATATACTTATTGTTCTACATTTTGCTTTCTCACCTAACATTAAGTCTTGAAAATTATTCTATATTAATGGAAGGTTTTTTAAATTTTTTGAAGGCACTTTAGAAATGTCACGTGTCTACACTCGGCAAAAGTAGTTCCTAACCCAGGGATTAGGTCTGGTATGTAATAGTATCCAAGAAATGTTTCTTGAGTGAGTGATTGAGAAAGTGAGTGAATTAATGATTATACTAATTTAAGCTGCAGATAGAAAGAGGCAGAAAGCTAAGAATTGCCTGAAGGTCTGAGACTGTTGACCTAACCCTGATGCTGAGACCCAGGGTAATCGAAGGGATGACATCACAAAATGCATATCTCTTTTTACATTGTATCAGAAATTCTCTTTAAGGCTTCATATTAGGAGATGTCAGTAAGAAGAGGTGCCTCTGGAGGTGGGTGAAGAATGGAGTTACGGGATGGCCCCTAGACCCCAGGAGTCAGATCACACGGTCCTGCTTCTGCTGTGACCAGGCTCCAGAACCTGTACAAGTGGGTTCATTTCTCTGTGTGTCCTTTCTTCAAACGTGAAACAAGGGGGTTGGAGTAGATTATTGCAATGGACCGTTCTAGCTCTAAGATTATGTCATTTATTATTCCACAATTTCCTGTTTGATTACCAGTTTGCACAGACATTTGTCGTGTTGAAGCTGCATTTACAGAGACATAAAAAATGAGGTATCATTTCTCTAAGATAATAAAGAGCCTTACAGGTTATTGGTGAAAATGTGATCATTAAGATTTCAAGATTAGACTGTAGAAAGCAGTATGCAATGATTATATTCCTCACAAAAATTTATTGGCTAAACTATTGAGACAGAAGCAGATTTACCAGGGTAAGCCCAAATAACCCACCCATTGACACATTTTGTGAGGATTAATACTCTGTAGTTTTTACCTTTAAAAGGTTAAAAGAGGGCTTCCCTTATAGCAGAAACTAACACACCATTGTAAAGCAATTATACTCCAATAAAGATGTTAAAAAAAAAAAAAAAAAAAAAGGGCTTCCCTGGTGGCTTAGTGGTTGAGAGACCGCCTGCCGATGCAGGGGACACGGGTTCGTGCCCCGGTCCGGAAGGATCCCACGTGCCACAGAGCGGCTGGGCCTGTGAGCCATGGCCGCTGAGCCTGCGCATCTGGAGCCTGTGCTCCGCAACGGGAGAGGCCACAGCAGTGAGAGGCCCGCGAACCGCAAAAAAAAAAAAAAAGTTAAAAAAAATCAGATAAATAAAAATTATTATAATATTAAAGTTATTCAATAGTAAATATAATTGTTATAAATGAATAGTATATGTAATATATTTAACAGTATTTAATTATTAAATATAGTTATTAAAATAGTAACTAATGATAAATATAATTCATAGTAAAATAAATCCTTTTTCTTCTCTTTACTTTAGTGAAGTATGAGAGTGAAGCTAGTAAATATTGGGACACATTTTATAAGATACATAAGAATAAGTTTTTCAAAGATCGTAATTGGCTGTTGAGGGAATTTCCTGAAATTCTTCCAGTTGGTCAAAAAACTGAAGAGAAGGTAAAAGAATTATCATGGAATCATGTAAAAGTTCATGCTGCAAACTGTTTCTCAAGAATGCACTGCCCTACTATGCCTGAAGAAAAAAATCATGATGGAGAAAGTTCTGGCTCATCAGATGGTCAAAACAAAGCAGGATCTGATTTTTCCAACCTAGACTCCAAAGTACACAGAAAAGGACCTCTGAAGACTGAATTGTTTCCTGGTAGCAACGCCACTTTCAGAATCCTAGAGGTATGGTACTGCAGGGGCAAAAATTTTTCAATGTACATTCCATATTACTTTAATAACGATCCAGATTTTTAGGGGGGAAATGATCAAATCTAACTATTAAATAAGTGTTCATATACTTTTGTGCATAAAAATTATTTAAGGGACTCATATCTTTAGTCATGTTTTAAGTTTGTGATTTAACTTTTTTTTAATTTGTCTACTTTAATTTCTAACTTGAAGGAAGTTTTAAATACCAATAAAGTTTTGGCCTTAATTTCTATCTCTTTCTGTTATTACCCACTTTTAGGTGAAATAGAAATAAGTGAAGTATGTAATTTGCTATAATCTGGTGTAGACCTTGATTTTCTGTTTTAAAAAATAAACCTTTTCCTTCTGATTGTAAAGATAATATATACTGCTTACAGAGAATTTGCTAAAGAGAAAGAATAAAATAATCTACAGTCCCATAAACAAGGGATTTAATTTAACCACTATTAACATTTAACTGACTTTTTTCTCCTTTTGTTTATACTGTTTTGTATAGTTGAGCTATACTCTACCTGCATTTTGGGGTTTTGCTTTGTTTGTATTGAACATTATAACATAAACAGTTTTCCCTATCTTTAAAAATTCTCTATAAACATTTTCATGGCTGCAAAATACTTTACTATGTGGAATACTATGATTCTACTTACCTGTTTTCACTTGACTGGGCATTTAAATTGTTTTCAGGTTTTCAACAGCAAACATCTTTGGGTATAGACTTTTCTGCATTTTCTTTTATTATTTGGGTTCAATTTACTAGTTCATAATTTATTTTAAAATTTTAGTACTGTTAAAATATATTGCCAAATTGCTTTCTAAGAAGTTGTACTAATACCAATTCACAGCAGTGTAGGTCTGTTTCATCACACCCTTACTGATTGGAATATTCTTATTTTAGTGCTTTCTGCTTTGTTAGACAAAAATTATACCTTATTTTAATTTGCATTCCTTTGATTGTTAAATAGGTCATATAGTTCTTCAAACGTTTAGAAGTCATTTGTACTTCTTTTGTGTTCTGTTTATTTCCTTTATTTATCAGATGCTTTTAAAAAACTGAGCTCTGCCCTTTATCATATTTAATGCAAATGTTTTTTTCACAGTATGTTTGTCACCTTTTAATTTGGTTTATTTTGGGTTTTGGTATGTAAAAATTTTAGATGTTTCCATAGTCAAATTTCTCAGTGCATATTATTCTTGTGATTTACTTCATTGCTTGAGTTTAGAAAACTCTCCTATACCCAGAGATCCAGTCAATTTCTTTTAGTTTTTTTTTTAATAAAAAAATCTGACATTGGTGAGGGAAATTTAACTTTATTTTCATAATATTTGTTTATTCTTTGATTTTAGGTTGGCTGTGGTGCTGGGAATAGTGTTTTTCCAATTCTGAACACTTTGCAGTGAGTTTTAGAGTTTTCTCCTACAAAATTCTACATACATATGGGAGGTTAAGAAATTCTGGGAAAAAGTTGTCATGTATATGCCAGTAGTGTTCTTGTTCCTATATAAACAATGACTAAAGGAAGTTTCAAAAGAAGTGTCTTGGTCTGAGTGTCTAATTTCATGTGAACTGAGAATTACTCTGAAAATAATGTTTCACAGGCATGGGTTGTCCACCATGAGTTGAAGTAATTTTTTAAGCTTGTGTTTATGTGGATGAGGGAATAAGAAGAGAGTAAGAGGTTGGATCCTTCTGCTAAGCTGGGAATTGCTGAACTTTAGAGATTTATTTACCCCTCCAGGTTATTTAGGTGTCATTTTACACATAGAGAATTGAGTTTAAAGCTTACACAAAATAAAGTGTAAGCTTTAAACTCATTTTTTTGTCATCACTTCTGGAGCCACACCCAGTATAAAACCTTCCTATGTCAAATGACTGTATCTAGACTTGAAATTGTTTGGAGTTATAGCACCTAACCCTAAGATTCAAAAAGGCAGAAGTAGGGGATAGGAGCAAAGATGTTCTCCTGAGCTGCCCTTCCCGTTCACCACCTCACCTATGTGTTTTAGTAGGTGATGAAGAAGATACACCTTACAAAACTTTAACACCTTTTACCTATGGCTGGTCTGTCAAGTCCCTATTTTTTTTTAAGTTTACATGATAGCTTTCCCATTATTTTTCCATTATAAAATCAACATAAGCACATTGTAGAACGTTCCCATTAGAGGAAAATGGGTTGGGGGGAATCACCCATTATTCCCACCACCATTAGCATAGCTGCTGACAGAATTTTTGTTATAATTCCTTTCAGTCTTTTCACTATGCCTATTTTTAAATTTAAGAAAGTCTTTTTTTTTTAACTTTCCATTGTGAAAATGTAAAAGCATTCAGAAAAACTGAGTAATACAGCGTATTCTCATACACCCACCACCTTGTTTCAACAGTTACTAACATAAGGCCAACATCATGACACTTTAAGTACTTATGATGGATCTCCAAAAAGCAGGACATACTTCATTACTATTATAAACCTAACATAATAAAAATTAAGTAATTCCCTAATATCATCAAATTACCAGTTAAAGTGTCCAGCCAGAAGTGGTGCTGGCCAATTTGCAGTTCTGAATGGTCTTCCTCTTTCCGGACTTATTTTCTTTGTTTTCCCTTTTCCAATTTCTGGGCCAAAATTTCCTGTACTTTTATACCACATAGCCAGATTCCTTCACCCCCGTGATCTCTGAACTTGTGATACACATAAATCTACTACACTGGCAGTTGATTGTGTGTTACTTTATGACTTACCTCAAGTTATTATTTAGCATATCGTTTCTCTATGTCTTATTTCTTAAACTACTATTCATATATTCCTTGAGGTAAAGGGCATATTTTACTCTAATCGGATTTTTCAGGTAGCCTAACAATACAATATAGATAGAGCTTGGTACACACTGACTGATTAATATCTCTGGCTCCCCTCTTGTTAGTTGTATTTTTCCCTCTTCTACTTCTCCCTCCAACTAATAATTGCAAGCCCTTGCCTCACCCCCGACTCTTTCTTTGTGGATATGTCTTTTTGGTTTTTTTTGCCTCGTATTCATATTTTAGAAATCACTGTAGCTCAATAACCTGAGATAATTAATTCATCTTTAAAAGGCAACCAGTGATTAGCCTTCCAAAGGGAGGATTAGACTTTTTTTCCCACCACAGAAATTGTGTTTTATTACTTTTGGAGAGTATAAGATTAATGTTTTACATTTTTAGAATATTTTACCATAATTAGACCTCTGGAATTGAGAGGTCATATCATTCTCCAAGGATCATTTAATTCTTAAACCCCTTGCCAAGAGAGTGCTTGGTGGTGTGGTGGTAGTGGTGATATTTACACCTGTTTGCTGGGAGAAGGGCCAAGGCAGTCAGCCGATTTTACTGAAAAGCTCTGGAAAGTCATTGGGTGATCACAAGACCAACTTGGGTTGCTGATGCAGTGGGAATTCAGTTTCAGAGGTCAAGCTGCCGTCTGGTAGGACACATGGCAAATGGCACATGCCTTCCTTTAGCTTACTAGACTGTTCTGTATCTTGTGAGTGTTTAGTAACTACTGCCCAAAGATAGACTGCATACCTTTCATAATAGCTGGATGTGCCAGTGTCCAGAGAAGCATTTTGAGCTATATCGAAGTATTTATAGAACCATGTTAATTTCTTAAGTTTTTAAGTTCCTGGAAGGCAGAGGCAGATCTTCCTTTAATGATGATAACAATGATGATAATGATGATGGTGATGATGATAGCAACAATAATAAGAATGACTAACAGTTATTAGGTGCTTACTCTGAGTCAGGCACCTTTCTAGAAACTCTACATATATGAGTCCATTCAATCCTTACAACCAACTTAGATGCCATATTTATCTCTGTTAGGAGTTCGGGATTGACATATACACACTACTACTATATTTAAAATAGATAACTAACAAGGACCTACTGTATAGCACAAGGAACTCTGCTCAATATTCTGTAATAACCGAAATGGGAAAAGAATTTGAAAAAGAATTGATACATGTATATCTGTAACTGAATCACCTTGCTGTACACCTGAAACTAACACAACATTGTTAATCAACTATACTCCAATATAAAAGAATTAATTAAAAAAAATAAAGATGAAGAAACCAATTACAGAGAGATTAGATGACTCTTCCATGGTCACCCAACTAAGTGGTAGAGCCAGGATTCAACCCTTGGCAGTCTTGTTTCAGAGCCCTTGCCCTTAGCCATCATACCACATAGTACTATATGTATCTGAGTGTTTTTTGAGACATTTCAAACATGTGTGACCAACCAACAATTACAAGTCACAAATATATGGATTTCATAGGAAACAATAAGGGTATATATGCTGCAATAAAGCACAATTTTTATATGGTATGGATGAGAAAATATAAGCGGCACAAGTTTTAACTTTGATTCAGTACTGGCTAACTTTTCATAACCATATCCTATTCATGATACATTAATTTATTTGGACAGATCTTAATTTGAGTACAAACCCCTAGTGCCACAGAATGGCACTATATATGAATACTATACTATATATGAATATTATACATGAATGTAGTATTCATCAGTGAGTAGCATTTGAGAGTAATGCAAGCCTGGGTGAGATTTTGCTAAATGCATATTTGTGCTTATGTTCCGTATTTATTTAGAAGTCCTCCTTGCTTGAAATGCCTCCTGAATCAAATTGGAAGTTCTAGTTATGTGCTTCAAAGCCCATATATCCTGTCACACACTGGGCTCTCAGGATCAACTCTGCTTCTCATCCCTAGCATGTGACTCCCACTTCTAAACCCTTTCCCCTTCTTCCCACTTAGTAATGCCATCCCCCTCCTTCAAAATTCTTAAGACTTTCACCTGAGGGTGCCTGCCTTATGCACACTTCTATAGAAATTTTTGTATATGTCCCCAACTAGGCTATAAGATCCACAAGAGCCAGGACCATACCTATAATTACTGTTTAGGACATACTGATCTCTTTCTGTGATTCAGACACACTACTAAGCAAGATGATGCAAGGATCCTTTGCTAATAGCATACAAGGTATGATTAGGAAGGGTACTGACCCACAAAATTCAAAGTACAGTTGACCCTTGAACAATGTGGGGGGTTAGTCCACGAATAATTTACAGTCGACCCTTCGTATTTGTGGTTCCTTCTGTATCCGCAGATTCCATCAACCACGGACCATATAGCACTTAGTATTTACTATTGAAAAATATCCATGTGTAAGTGGACCTGCGAAGTTCAAACCTGTATTGTTCAAGGGACAGCTGTATGTGCCTGCCCATTAGTAACCATGGATCAGCCATTGTTACTGAATTTCAGGTAAAGACCAAATAGAACTTGTCTAAGTTCGGTGGAGGCCAATTAAAATTAGTCAGGATTTTCATATGGGTAAACATCCCCCCCCAAAAAAAACCCCCCTGAATTTGCTTACTTTATTTACGTATTGTAGGTAAAGCAACTGAGTCTCGGAGAAGTTAAGTCAAATTCAGTGTTAATAACTGGCAAATCCAGGATTTAAACACAGGTGTAATTGGCTCCCAAATCCCATACTCTTACTAGACAGTTTTATTAGACAGTTTCATTTACTACTTTGTATTCTAATGCTTGGTCCATGTATAAGGCTCAATAAAAGTTTGAAAATCGGGCTTCCCTGGTGGCGCAGTGGTTGAGAGTCTGCCTGCCGATGCAGGGTACAGGGGTTCGTGCCCCGGTCCGGGAAGATCCCACATGCCGCGGAGCGACTGGGGCCGTGAGCCATGGCCGCTGAGCCTGCGCGTCCGGAGCCTGTGCTCCACAACGGGAGAGGAAAGAAAAGTTTGACAGCCACTTGAAACGATAAGAATATATTAGTGTTTTATTATTTTTAGAAGTTGTATTTACATGCTGTTAATATAAACATATTAATATTATATTTAACAGCACGTAAATGCAACTGGGGGTTGAGGGTCCTTGGAGAGGATAGAACTTGGCTAAGCTAAGAGGAGTTACAGGCCACGCTGGCTGGAGGCAGACAAGAAAGAGTGCCTGTGAGGGGTAGGAGGAAGATTGAGCAACGCTGATGGATGGCTTTGGAGGTTTCCCATGGGAGAGTATGATGGGATATAGAGCAAGTAGGCGCACATAATGGAGGGCCTTAAAATCAGGGCAGGAATTTGAAAGTCACCCTGTAATTGATAAGTGTTTGAGATAATGTTGGTTCAGAAACAACATGAAGGCATCCACACACCACTGCAGAGAACAGTGTCTAAAAAGAAGAAACAACAAGCCAAGTGTCATCCAAAATTCTGTTAAAGAAATACTAACAAATTCAAACCTACACTTTCCTTTCTTCTGTAGCTTCAGCATATCTGGGCTCTAGATTTAAATATTTCTTTCATTTTCATAGGAATGCTCCAGAGTTCTTTCTTTATTGTTGTGATTTTGCTTCTGGAGCTGTGGAGCTGGTAAAGGTATGCCTTATATTTTCTTTAAAGAGAGCTATATTAAACATCTAATTTTTTGCTGTTGAAGTGATTTTTTTTTAATGTAACTGCATCAGATGTAATCTGTGACCGTTTTTAACTGAGCTTTTACAATTTTGCAAATCATATCATCAACTGATGCCTAAGATGTTACCCTAAAACAATAGAAGTTGTTTGGGATTTAATATAGAGTTCAAGAGAGTGGTTCCTACAAGGTGGTATTTATATTTATATCCCTAGAGCTTTACACACAGTTTGGCACATAGTAGGCACTCATTAAATTAAAAATTTTGAAAAAAAAAAAGGTCTGAAAAGGCATATATTACAAATCTAAAATGTCTCAACTGTAAGGAAAACAGTGGTGGGAACCGGGCCTTATTTGACCAATTCCCAAATGCTAGTAAGCATTATCATAGCAAAAAGAGGTAATTTTAGGAAATGGAAAAGGAATGGAAATTCTAACAAAAATGTATAGTAAACACATGGAACATAATTTCTGGTAATAAGAGTTAATAGTTTTTCATTGTAGACATTTTCTAAAATACTGAAAAGCCTAAAGGGGAAGATAAAATTTACCTATAATATGCTTTTTTAGAGTCCTAGAGTGAATCACTGTTAGTATTTTGGTATATATCCTTCTAGTGTTGTTTTTATAGGCAGATTGTGTGTGGATGTGGTTTTTTAAAATAGCATCTTTATTGAGGTATAGTTCACATACCATAAATTTCACCATTTTAAAGTATACAATCCTGTGATTTTTAGTATATTTAGAGTTGTACAGCCATCACCATTACCTAACGTTGATTATGTACTATAGGTTATTTATATATTAATGCCGAAGGAGGCATGGAATAAGCAGTGAGAGAGAGAACCGAGGACCATCTCAGTGCCTCTGAAGTAACACAGGGTGGGCTTCCAGCAACACTGCCTACTGACTCAGCAAGACTGCCCTACTCCACTTTTCAAGCTAAGGAGGGATTGCAAAAGAATATTTGTTATCAAGTCCAAGAGCTAGACTTAATTTTTAATGACAGCTTGAAATAACCTAACAGAATACCTAATCCAAAAATCAAATTTATAGAAGAAAGGCACTTGAGAGAAGTTAAATTGACCTTTTTAATTTGAGAAAAATACTAGAAGTCTGCTAACAATTGTTTTTGTCTTTTCATTCCTTTATCATGACAGTCGCACGCGTCATACAGAGCAGCCCAGTGCTGTGCCTTTGTTCATGACGTTTGTGACGATGGCCTACCCTACCCTTTTCCAGATGGGATCCTGGACGTCATTCTCCTCGTCTTTGTGCTCTCTTCCATTCATCCTGACAGGTAAATGAAGACGAAAGGGCAGAGCAAATGTGTACAGCCCTTTATCAGGAGTGGCTTTCAAAACTATCAAAGCAAAAATGACAATTCTTGAATTTATTATTTAATGAACTACATTATGTATAATATGCAGCCTTTTAAATGTAGTTTTTCCTTTCTTCAGACTTTCAGAAAGAAACTGGTGACACTACTTCTTTAGTGAGCTTTCTGTCACTGTCAGAATGAAGTAAGCATCTTCTGGCAAGACACATACCTATTAAAAGTGACAGAGCTTCAAGGAAATTACAAATTCAGAACAGCCTAATAGACTCCCGAGAGGGAAGTTGTACATTGGTGATCAGAAACAAACATCTTTGATTTAGCATCTTGCTGAATGTTCATGAAGAGGTGGGCTGTAAATCTGTTTGGCTTCACACTGGTCTATCGATGGGCTTTAAAATATTTGTTTTAAAGAAGCCCACTAGGGAATTAGGGGTTATCAAAATTTGCCAGATTAACCTCAGACCTTTATAATCTAAGATTGGCCTAGTGCCATCATTTAAATATTCATGACTTAAATATTTTTGTTCACATAAGGTTTTGAAATAATAAATACAGCTTTTCTCTAAAGAGGAAGCACAAAGAGATATTACCAGCAATTAAAATGATCACTTTTCTTAAAATTTTGCCACCTTGTATGTATTAAGACACATGTGGTAAGTGTCAGGGGTTGTGCCTTCATAATGTTTCTTAAAATTGGGTTTTCGTGATCTTCTGGTAATAGATACAGACTTGGCATCAACCGCTTTTTGTTTGGTGAGTGTGACTCTTTCCCAAAGAAATCGAGTATTGTGTCCTTCTTTCTTTGCTATTGTAAGGTCATTAGGACCCTTTACAGTCCTTTCACTTCTCATTCAGAGATGTGCACTTTGATTACTTGTGGAAAAGCAAATTAGATTTCCAAATAACGAATGAAATATATAATTGCACCTGGTGAGATATATCAAGTTCCATGAAGTTACTTACTCCCAGTTTCTATAACCTATTTCTTTCTGCTAATCTGTTTATACTGTTGGCATTATTCAGGTACTGGTAGAAGGATGTCACCTATGTATTTTGTTTCACAGTTAAAAGGATAAATAGTAAAAAGGATAGAGTAGGTGGATAGTGAACAAGATTTTCTGTCTGACACCTATAACAGGAAATGTTTAAATTCAAAATGAGACCTCAAAAAGACTATTTCAATTAGTTTAGATAATGTATTTTTGTCATGAGTTGAATTGAATGTTAAAGAGAAGGGGAAGCAGATATCTTGGAAAGATTGTTTTTATAGTACATATATTCATTCTATTTATTTATTATAAAATAAGTTCAGATGTATCATGTCAGTAGCTGCTTTCTTACCTACGTGGAGATGATCTAAAAATGAGGTGAATGAGTAGAAGTTGGGTAATAGTAAGTGAAAAGTAAGGCAGTATCTTTAGGGTCATCTAGCACTGTGGTAGTAGATTCAGCCCCAGGAAAATTCTAGAAAAATGGCTTATTGCCAGCTTGGAAGTTCAGCTAGACCTTGAGTCTTGGGGTCCCAGATTAAATGGGAGTAAACCATAGAAGGCTACAAAAAAATAGGTAGCTGTCCTTCTTGTTATTGAAATAAAAGTATAATATGTTTTCTAAAGATCTAAGCATAGAATAGTCAATAAACACTCTTTTTTTTTTAATCTCTTTTTTTCCTTCTCCTCTCCCTCCATCCAGCGATAGGTGAGGATAGCAGAGTTGGCCCGAGTCAGATGAAAAAAGAAAAGGGGCTTTCCCCCATTCTTGTCCATCTCACCTGCAGGCCACTCCCACCTGCATTTCTCAGGAACTGGCTCTGGAATTGCATTATGACCCAAGATGGGCTGATAAAAGAAGCAGCTCCCCACCTCTTGCCTTCACCTGCAACGCAGACTTTAAAGGATAGTTGGGAGGAGAGGATTTGCAGAAGGAGGCTACATTTTGAAGTATTTGGCTGTTTGTTTTTTTGTGTTTTCGTTTCATGCTTGTTTTGCTAATAATTGCAGAAAGAGATTTTTTTTCTCTGTACGTAAAACATTTATCCGGAAAGTGAATGTTTTAAGGTTTAGATATGGTTTTCTTTAACTGTCAAATTCTAAGGATATAAGCACAGTGTGAAAATAACCTGTAATAAAATAAACAAGGAAAAATACTTTTCTTTTTCTCTTTCATGTACTTAGGTTCCAGGTTTTTTAAAGAGCTTTTTTTCTAATCATGGCACCTTTTTCTGTCATTTCTCTCTTGTTTTCATAGTTACTTTCATTTTCTTACTACTTATTTCTTTCATAACCTGACGTACTGTTTCACCCCGTTATTCCACTTAACAGTGTTTTAAATTTTTATTTTTTTTAATTTTTAAAAATTTTTGGCTGCATTGGGTCTTCATTGCTGCGTGCCGGCTTTCTCTAGTTGCGGGGAACAGGGTCTACTCTTCGTCGCGGTGCGTGGGCTTCTCGTTGTGGTGGCTTCTCTTGTTTCGGAGCACAGGTTCTAACGCACGGGCTTCAGTAGTTGTGGCACACAGGCTCAGTAGTTTTGGCGCATGGGCTTAGTTGCTCCGCGGCATGTGGGATCTTCCCGGACCAGGGCTCGAACCTGTGTCCCCTGCATTGGCAGGCGGATTCTTAACCACTGTGCCACCAGGGAAGTCCCTGAACAGTGTTTTAATTGGAAGGAATTTACAGATTATCTGATCAAAACCCCTCATTTTTAAAATAGGTTATGCTCAGAAGCTTTAAGAAGCTTGGATAAAGCAGAGACAGCAAGGACTTAGTACACAGGCTGCCATTTACCATTCTCTGCCCAGGGCAGACATTGATAATTGATTTTGTAGATTGTCATTCCCTGTGAGTCTTAAGAGTCCTTTGCAGTAGAGCTCCATCGGTAGCCAATGTCAGTCACTTGGCTTGATATGAGATCTGAAATCTTTGTCATCTCTGTACCATAATCACATATAAGGCCTTGAACACTTAACCAAAAACATTAAATCAAAAGCAGTCACAGGCTTCCCTGGTGGCACATTGGTTGAGAATCCGCCTGCCAATGCTGGGGACACGGGTTCGATCCCTGGTCTAGGAAGATCCCACATGCCTCGCAGCAACTAAGCCCGTGAGCCACAACTACTGAGCCTGCATGCCACAACTACTGAAGCCCACGCGCCTAGAGCCTGTGCTCCACAATGAGAAACCACCGCAGTGAGAAGCCCCCACACTGCAACAAAGAGTGGCCCCTGCTTGCCACAACTAGAGAAAGCCTACACGCAGCAGCGAAGACCCAACACAGCCAAAAATAAATTTAAAAAAAAAAAAAAAGAAAACCAGTCACAAGGGGTCATGTTTGGGAACCAGATGGGTAGAATAAGCAGTAAAAGAAAGAAAGTAATAAAAGCTTCCCAGTATTGAGCTGGGGCTTAGAGTGTGAATAGAATTTAAATGGGCAACGAGTAAGGAGGAGAGAATTCTTTGAGGGGAAACCACATGAGCAAAGGCATGGACTGCTCAGAGCCAAGCATGTAACAGTTTGGCTAAAGATGCTTCAGATTAGGAAGTAGTGGGAAAGATGTTGGAAAGATTGAGGTCAGTTGTAGGTGATCTTAAGGGCTCAAATAAGAAACTAAGATTTTATCCTGTGGATTAAAATCATGAAAATTGGAGCAAAGGGATGATTTGACAAAACCATCATTTTAAGCATACTAATTCATCAATAATATGCAGGAAGGATTGGCAGGGATAATAATAACACCTGTTAAGAAGCAATTCTGTGTCCAGCCTGAGGATGTTGGAGTTTGTATACTAAGGGAGTACCAATGGGATACGAGAGAGAGAAACGATCAAATATGTAGTTTTTTTAAAAAGACAATTTGATGACCAAATGGTTGTGCTGAGGATAGTGGAAGAAGAGAAAAATAAAAGGAGTCAAAGATTTCTCTGAGGTGTTACACTTCGGTGAATTTAGTACCTTTGAACTAAATAAAGAAGTCAGGAGGAAAAGCAGCTAGTTTTGGAGGAAAGGTGATCCCCGTTTAGGTATGTCTGATTGGGACAGTTCTGGCATATTTTTTATCTTGCAAGGAAAATGAAACGACTTCATTTTTTTCTGCCTTGGAACTACCTTAATTTGCTGTTAATATCAGGAATGTCTATGTGGTTTTGCAGTTCAGCATTGACATTACACATCAAGCTCTGTGAAGTTACCACTCTGGTCATTTGGGTGATTTCTTGAGATTCTAGGCTTTTTGAATCTGATTATTTAGCAAGTTGGTGTCCTTTTTTCTTTCTATACAAAATATTTTTGGTTTTGTTCCCCTTATATTTGTGGCTTACATTTCTTTGGCCTCATCGAGCTGTGCTTATTTTATCATTAAGGAGGTTAAATGTGACGTATAAAACAAGACTTCCACAGAGTCTCTTGCTTTGTTTTCAAAGGATGCAAGGTGTTGTAAACCGACTGTCCAAGTTACTGAAACCTGGGGGAATGCTGTTATTTCGGGACTATGGAAGATACGATAAGACTCAGCTTCGTTTTAAAAGGGGTAATGGTATATTCAGTTTGGGGTTATTTTCTTGTGTTTTAAAGAATGCTGTGTTTACATTTCATGTCAATTTTGTTGGTGGTGGTGGTGGTGGTTTTCTTAAGGAATACTAAGTTTCTCTTGTCACACTTTTTTTTTTTTTAGGGCATTGTTTATCTGAAAACTTTTATGTTCGAGGAGATGGTACCAGAGCATATTTCTTTACAAAAGGTATGTTTATCTATAAGAGGAAATAATTAGCTGTAAAAACTTTCCTTGGGTATTATTTGCAGGGAGAAACTTAAAAGCTCTAAAAATGAGGCTTCAAGAGTTGAATAAACATTAGATGTCTTTACACCTTAGTGATTATAACTGTTCTATGTAAAAGCTTGGAAGTGGCCTTTTTGCCTTTTAATCTTTTTCCAATTTAAAGAATCACTTGTTTCATCCTCATACCCTAACGAAGTTTCCATTTCAGAGGTACTGTTAGCCCAGATATGAAAAAATTGATGACGTGCCACAGCCAAAAGAGGGAATGTGATTTTAAGAGTCCATAGAAAATTACTTATCTCTTGTCAATTTCTCATTTTAAAAAAGCATTTAAAATGAATCCTTCATTCAAGGACTTTCCCCAAACTTATGTGAGTACTTTTACAATGTGCCATTTGGGGTCTCTGCAAACCAACAAAAACTCAGATCTGGGCACCTTTCAAAATATTGAAAGCTGCAACCGATAGTGTTGTATATCTGTTAACACCTGCTGTGTTCAACTGTTTATACTTAGTATGTTTGTGTGAAATAGAAGAAAACCACTTGGTGTCATGGGTTTCCTTCACCAATTTGTACTAGAGAATGTTTCTTGGTATAAATGAAAATTCAGATGGTCATTCATTCCATTAATGTTCCATTGTTCCTGACTGCCCCTCCCCCCAAGTCACATATCATACATTTGACTGCCATTCTTGTCTCACAGGGGAAGTCCACGATATGTTCTGCAAGGCTGGGTTAAATGAGAAGCAAAATCTGGTCGATCGTCGCTTACAAGTTAATAGGAAAAAAAAAGTGAAAATGCACCGAGTTTGGGTTCAAGGAAAATTCCAGAAACCATTACCCTTCACTCAAAAAAGTTCCAAATTGTTATTTTCACTCTTTTCTCATGGCTGAACTATGTATCATGTTAAGGTACAAACCAGAGGATTACACTATTCAAAGTCTTCTGTAAATCTTTCATTTTTGAAAAGACAGAAGAAAAGAATTTGTATATCCTGCTGTTTACCATGGGTGGGCTCTTTTGTGCATTTTAAGCACATGTAAGTGATTTGGAAGAGACCACAGTATTCTGTGTTTTCAAAACTTAATATGCTAAAGCTTGTTTGGATTTACTACATCTTAATCATTTTGTTTGTTCTTTGAGTTTTATAAGCATTCAGTTAAATTACTGATATAAGTCAGATGATTCTGAGAAGCGGAAACCTGCCATTTTTTAGAAGTGAAAAAAACCCATCTACTTTATTTATACATTAGTTGAACACAGTTGAACTCTCCTCCACTGTTAACTGATACAGAGGCAGCTCACCTTGTTTCCAAGGAAAGTCACAAGACCAAGACAAAAGTATATATTTTTCTGTTTTGTCGTTGTTCGTCCCAAAACTTTTTTTTTCTTTAATTCACAGACTAATGTCTGAAACAGAATTTTGGTTTCTCTTTCCTTTCCTAAAATTGGGGAAGTATGACCAATGCTAATATTATTTTCAGGCTATTCTTAGGTGTACAAGTTGGAAGCCTTCTTTAAGACAACTGTCATACCCAAGAAAATTCTTAAATTGTAGCAATTAAAAATTTATTTACCACCTTGCCTCAAAAAAGACATAAATTGGCTTGCAAATTGTACTTGGTAAAAATGGAGTTTCTAAAACTGGTCTGTCATTCATTATACAACATATACTGAGTACTTACATTGTGCTGAATTATATGGAATAATACAATAAAGACCCAGCTCTGTCTTCTGAGAGCATAAATAGGCTCTAGCTGGCAAAGCAAACTGTGCATCCCAAGCCAAGATAATATGTGAGCAAGTACTCAAATACGGAGCTTATCAGCTAGCTGATATGCTTGATTGATTATGAGCCACAGAAATCTGGAAGACAAATCTCTTGAAAGGACCACCATCAGAATGATCAGTTCCAACTATTTTTCCTTTTTGAACTCACTTAAAATTCAACTTCCTGGAAGCATATGATTGGTCCAATTTGGATCATGGATTCATCTTTTTTTTTTTTTTTTTTTTGTGGTACGTGGGCCTCTCACTGTTGTGGCCTCTCCCGTTGCAGAGCACAGGCTCCAGATGCACAGACTCAGCGGCCATGGCTCACGGGCCCAGCCGCTCCACGGCATGTGGGATCTTCCCAGACCGGGGCACGAACCCGTGTCCCCTGCATAGGCAGGCAGACTCTCAACCAGTGCGCCACCAGGGAAGCCCCATGGATTCATCTTTTGACAGACTGGGGCAGGACAGGTTATTTGATGGCACCACCAGACTATATGGAATGGAGGCAAGTTCCTCAAAGGAAAATCAAGACACTGTTATCAAAAAAGAGGGGAGGGTTGCTGCCCAGTCACAGACATCGTGTGGTGGTAGCAGTAGTAATAATGGTTCTGAAGAGAGAGAAAGATCAGCTGTGGGATGGAAGGGAAAGAATCAGGGTTCTGGGAGGAGGTAGGTCTCAGGCTAGTCCTAGAACATATGCTCTCAGAAGATAGGTATGTTTGGTGGGGATATGGATATTCATGATTTGGGATAGTGGAGAAAAGATGGGGAGGGCATCTATAGACAGCCTTGAATAGAGGGTGCATTGGGTTCTGGTCTCTGGACTAGAGCCATCCGAGGTTGGTTTATTTCTGTTTTATCCTAGCCATGGTGTGTTATAAATATATTTAGAGAGATTGATTGAGGAGTCGTCAACAGAATGGAATGCAGTGAGGTCAGAGATCAGGGCAAGGAGAACCACGGAAGGTTTTCGCATACATTTGCCTTGATAACAAGTCCTCAGAAGTACAATATCAAGGTTTCTGTTTAAACATGCAGTAAATGTAAAAGTCAAAATTTGCCTGAGACTCAACTCAGTTGTTTTCCTAATTAAAGTGTATATTTAAAAGCCAAACTAGTAACGAAGGTATTACGTACAGCAAGGGCAGTTAGATAAGTTAATGTTGCTATGGGAACCCCAGCAGATCTTCTTGTGTCTCAATTTAAAACTCATGGCCCAAGGTGGTTTTAAAAACAACAGAAGGTAAAATTATTCCCACATTCTCATACATGTAAATCGTACTGTCTCTCTCTGTCCTAAATAGCAGATTCAAGCCAGCTTCTTGACTGGCACAGTAAAATGCTGCTCCGTGTCTTTCTATAATGTATTACAGCATGTAGTTAACCTTTAGAAACTTCAAAAATACATCCACCAAATTTGGACTGTGAGACACAAACTGGGCTCTTTTGGGCTGTGTCTAGCATAGACCTCCTATTCCACATGGCTGCTCAATGGGCCATTTCTATCAGTGTCTTCTGCTTGTCTGGTCAGTCTTTCTCTCCCTTAGCCTACCTGAATCAACCCCCTACTTAGAGTTTGCTGCCAGACAAAATGTAGATTTTTTTTGGCAGAGGAAAAATAAGAGAAAGACCTGATTTGGAATATTGCCTATAGATATTAAGAAATTATGAAATGTTGCAAATGTATCTGCTTGGGTATTAGTTTAAAATATTTGATAACTGCATGAAATTCTCATCTTTTCCCTCACATCTATGGAGCTAGGACTAGTCAGTTAGGCAGAGTTTGATATTTAAAACTTCATCTGCTGAGGGAGCTGAAATTTCAAAAGGACTATTTTCTTTCTAACAGAAAAAGATGTGTTCCTTCATTTTATAATACAGAAACAATGAAAGATGCTATATTAAAAATGCACCCTCTGTTTTCCTCCATTTATAAAAATTCACTTTTGAGCATTTTCCAAATGTAAAAATTCTCACACACATGAAGTACTGTTTCATAAGGTTGTGAGAAAGCCAAGGTAGCGGTTTCTATTATTAAAAGTTTTGCATTTCGGTATGACACATTTGTCGTATTGAAACACCCAGCTAATGTTGACTTCTGAGAACTTATTTGCTTTGCTTGTCTCAGTTCCATATGCGTTGTCTCTAAATTTTGAATACATCGAGGTTTCTACCATCATGCAGTCTAAATCGTTGCTATACTCACTTGTACGTGAAAATTATTCACCCGTATGCGAAGAGCTGCCCTCCGGGGCATCAGGACCATGTAAACCGTTCAACATCAGGTGACTTAAATTCTTGCCCCCAGACTCCTATGCTGTATTCCTCTGGTTTTCCAACTCATCAAAGCCAATTTCTGAAGCCAGAATATATCACGCATTATTACTTCTAATTGGTTTTAATGTTTGTTATGCTCCTCACAAGTGCAGATAACTTCACATTTGCATCATTAATAGGCCTTTTTCTGAGCCTCTGCTTCTTCTGCTTTCTGCCTCTGTTAGTCATCAGGAGACGTGTTGGTGTGGGTATTCACCTCCCTTCCTTGTGAAAAGTGCATTGTAAAATCTAAAGCACTGAATATATGTGAGGTATTGTTATTAATAACAGTATTTACAGTCTACAAGGCAGCATGCAGAGCACTCCAGCAACAGAAACTTTTTCAGTGGTTTTATGAGACCTTGTGAGAAAGACAGTAAAATGCATGGAAAAATATTGCCTGCAAGTCAGACAGGAAGCATGGGTCCTAGTTCCTGTTGAACCGCTTAGCTGCTCTTAATTTACCTCTGAGTGCTAAGTCTTTTATACACTACACTTTTATATACCACATTATTCCTTCATTTAATCCTCAAACTCCTATGAATTAGTTTTTACTGTAACCATTTAACAGATAAGACTGGAGCTCTGAGGTATTGGGTAATTTGCCTAGGATATCACCGCGAGTCAGTGGCAGAAACACAATTTGGGCCCAGAAGTGTCTGATTCCAAAACATCTAGTCTCATCAGTACACTTTTAATTGATAGACTCAAATGCTGTTCGGGAAAGCTGCTGGAGAAGAAAAAGAGCTCCTGAATCAAGCGGAGAATTATAGCAGTGGGTGGGAGTTTGGATCAGACGATCTTCAAGGAGACAGCTCATTCTAGATCCAGTGATTCTATGAAATAGGTAGGTAGTACTTGTCCACAGTTACAAACTGGGAAGGAAGAGAAGGGAAGGAGCGAAGAGGAATGACAAAGCAAAAGCTTGCAGTCAGCTCTTTTCAGCATTCTGCATATGTTTACTTCTGCTCTCGCCCCACCCCCCTTCGGGCTTCAGCCTTCCACTTGGCTCCCCTGTGAGCACACAGAGCACCCATCACTTGCATACTCCTCACTTAAAGAAAATAAATCAGTCTGTACTGCAAGGGGGTAGGGGGAACCCTCAAAGGGATCAACTCCAGCATAATCTAAAATACGTGATCAGGGAGTGTCAATAATAAAATGAGTGAGAACATCTTTGTTTAAAACATTGTATGTACAATAATGCCAATTCAAGCCTGACATGTTGAGCATTCCGTGGAATATGGCTTGGGATTTGAGAGAGCCCAAAGTTACCTGCAGGTTGGCGTTGGTGTAGTTATAAATATAAATAGAAGTAAAATAACAGTTGCATCTTCATTTATAATGAATATATACTGTGGCCTCAAAGCTGCAGAGGAGAGTGGATGCCAAAATCTATCTTTCATTAACATATGCCTTAAATGACAGGGAAGAGGTGTTAAGACAAAATTACTTTTTCCTCTGCGTATGAGTCAGCAACATGCAAGTAATAATAGTTCTGCGTGTGAGTCCCTACAGAGGGTAAGAAAAACAGCATCAAATTGAAAATGCAAGTTCACCTGCCAGAGGGGCCCAGGTGGCGGTAGAGCACAGCTCCCTTGAGCACCATCTTGAAGTGTCTCAGGGCACAGTGACCCCAACTCTGGCAAACCAGGTTGGCATGATGTGCATGGAGGACATTAAAACCTCCAGATAGTCAAAGACAGCTCACCCTCAGCTGCTCCCGGACCTCATCAAAAGCAAGCTACAAGGCACCACCACTGTCCAAGAGTTTAAAACAGCTGCTTTGGATTCTACGGTGCATGTGGTTTCACAACCACTTAACCTTTAGTCAGGAACAGCTAGAGGCAGGTGAATGGATAAATACATGCTAACATTACATAAGGAGAAAAAAATAATATTTAGGAGCACATGGACTTCAAGTAGTCACAAATAGCATTTAGTTAGCTGTGTCCTTGGCATCCCAGTGATTTATGTCTTTATCTTTGATTTTCTCCAGCAGATAGGCACTAAGTAGAGCCTGGACTCCAGAAAAGATATGCTTTTCTATCAGGTGTTAACTGCTAAATTAGGTGAGCTGTTCATTGCCTCCTAAAAATCCCCAAACATGTCTCCTACTTGGGCTGGTGGGGTTTAGTCCAGGAAAACTATGAGTTTTGTTATCCTTACACAAATTTTTTGGCAGTGTTTTCAACCCATTGCTCCTTTATGTGACACTTCCTAGTTCATTGCAGAAAAAGATATTAGTTTTTTTCTTACTTAATCTTTATATATCAGTTGTTGGTTGTTTCAAAAAACTTTGGGGAAGGGCAATCACCCATCAAGTCTAAGCCTTTCTCATTGAGAAAAAGCTCTAAAACTGTGTAACTTCCTAAAATTAATGATGAGATGCTGTTGAGTCTCTTGCATTAGTTTGTTGATGGTTTTGTTTTTTTTTTTAATGCTGTGTACTTAATACAAGGAACACTATGCAATTGCAGCCTCATTTCTCTCACCTCCTGCCTTTTGAGAGTAACGTCTTTCTCCTGAGGCTGTCCTGCTGAACAGACGTGATAGCTCTCCATACATTTTTAGTTACGCCGCACTCCCTCAGGTGAGCTGGAACAGCGTCCCCTTAAGCAGCATTTGGAACTTGCACTGAAAGAGAATGGCTGAAATTGCCAGTGTCACATGCTGCATTGAAGCAAGGAAATTTCTGCCTCTAAGGATAATAGCTTTTCTCCCTGCTCATACATCTTCCTTCACAGCCCTCATTTATTTTAATGTATATATTCCACTTTGACTCTCTGGAAGATATTTTTAAAGGTTTTTTTTAAAAATCCAAATGAAAGATGAAATTCAGGATCCAGAAAAGCATTTACTCTGTTTATCCTCTCCATGAATGTATTCTTAATCAGCCAGTCTTTCTGAGCATCTCTTCATTTGCTGCTTTGTTTCGTAATAGAATACTTGGGCTCTGGAGATTAGTGAGACAAAGACAAAGCTTCATTATAACCATCCT